TTGCAGCCATAGCTGAAAAAAATGTATCTGGTCTCAATACAAAATACCAAAAACAGTCTCTCAAGTGTGCAAGAAATTTATACACTATGCAAATGAAAATATGGTATGCAACAGTGCATAGATCTTTTGTACTAATGGAAGTTAGAGGCTTGAAATCACACTGTAGGAGACATGGTTCCACAGATTGAAAGTGTCTATCACTGTTTGATTAAGCTCCACTGCATTGGACATGTGTTTACCCAAACAAGCAAGATATTTTTAAACAAGAAGAGTTACTTTATCATTAAGGTAACTGGAGGTGGGGAACTTTCAGAGTCATGTCACATGTTTGATTATCCAGGGTATTGTGTCTGCATTCTGTCATGGACCCTGTCGCCAGCCTAGTTTCATTTCGGAAGAGATGTAACCACCTCCATCCCTCTTATCACATGTCCCTTGAAGACCCGGGTTAGAAAAGGTCTTCAGCAACCCATGCTTGCCGTAAAAGTCGACTATGCTTGTCGTAAAAGGCGACTAACGGGATCGGGTGGTCAGTTACTCAAAGTTCCGGACTGATAGACAAGTGGCTATGTCTTATTGAATCCTTGCCAAGTCACAGACTCCGACCACCCAATCCATTTTCTCGCCTTCTTCAACCAGCACAGATTGCTGGGGACCTACAGGGTGGGTAATGAAGCAGTGATATTGCAGTTGCCAAAGTAACAAATGTCAGTTTAAATCACACTGACATAGTCGTGACTTCCTAATCAAAAGCCAGGTTGGTAGGAGTGTAAATACAGATAGTTTGAATGCATGTTTGCACACATGAATTGTGTGTCTTCTTTTCAACACAACGCCAACATGGTTCATTTTTTATTGACCAAGGTAAATACCGTTAAGAGTTATTGATAAGAGGATATTGGGGCGGGGTAGACAAACTGAAGCAGCTGAAGTTGAAATGTTTTACACAAGCTTATAATGGTTTACCTGAGCTCTAATCTGTGGAGACCTGTAAAGATTCCGGGGTAGAATAGGTCTTCAGCAACCAATGCTTGTCGTAAAAGACGACTAACGGGATCGGGTGGTCAGGCTCGCTGACTTGGTTGATACATGTCATTGATCCTAATTGCGTAGATCGATGCTCATGCTATCAATCACTGGATTGTCTGGTCCAGACTTGATTATTTACAGACTGCCGTCATATAGCTGTAATATTGCTGAGTGCGGCGTTAAACAACAAACCAACCAACCCTTGAAGATCCGGGTTAGAATTGGTCTTCAGCAACCCATGCTTGTCATAAAAGGCAACTAACAGGACTGGGTGCTCAGGCTCGCTGACTTGGTTGATGCATGTCATCGTATCCCAATTGCGTAGATTGATGCTCATTGTGTCAATCATTGGATTGTCTGGTCCAGACTTGTTTATTTACAGACCACCGTCATATAGCTGGAATATTGCTGAGTGTGGCGTAAAACAACAAACCAACCATATTATATTATATGATTGGAAAAGTAGAGGACGAGATAGAATAAGAAAATTAGTAATAAAATTAATGATTTATAGAGTGCAACTTATTCAGATGTCCTCTGCTCAAGAGCGCTCAGTCATATGCTCTTTTGAAGAGAATGGTCCGTGTAAACTGGACGCTTCTGGTGGCCTTGGATCTCTTTTTCAAAAGAGGAATAGATAGAAAATAAGCGATTTCGGTTTCAGTATTTCAGTGTGGGCATGTCACTTTGTAAACAACAAACCTATTGTGGCGTTAAACAGCAAACATCACACATCACATCTTATCACATAGTTACCACATAACTTCGCTCGGTCATAAGGATGAAACCAACAACCAATCATAATGCCCCTTCTAAACAGAGGTTGGCAGAGATCAACATTTAGACTCACTGCCTCATTCAGAGAGCTCTCTTCTTAATCGAATCAAAAGACTGTTTTTGCTTGATGTTTCCGGAGGATGAAGACAGTGATGGATGTCCTTATGCAACAGGACATTATAAGTTGTATCAGAGTTGTATCGGAGATTCAGCAAGGCAGGTTGAGTTCTGGGAATATTGCTCCTTTCAGACTTGAAAAACCAAAGTGTGTTGATTGCATGGCTAATTTTAGCATTGTGTCAACCAAACTGGACTCCAAATTAAACTTATGATTGTGGTGAATGGATCAATGGAACTGGCATATACTACTCAAAAGAAGTTAAAGGACACTATAGTTAATCTGTCATGCAATGACAACTTAAATGATATGAAAGAATCAGCCAATCACAGTGCCTGATACACTGAATAATTGAGGATAGTGTTGCCTTCAACCAGGAAGTACATTCAGGTGGGTTTTTTTCAGGCTAACTAGAGCCATTGTACTTTATGCATTGTATGGGGTTGTAGTGGAGTATATGTGTTTTCCTAGACCAGTGATGTCTGGCTGGAAGTGGGTGGTAGGTAATGATTTCTGGCACCAGAAGGAAATGGTGATGAAGAGGCAACTTCTGTTGTACTTGCAAGCCATTTTCTAGTTTTCACAGGAAATTGGTCACTTGACCCGAAACTTGACCAAAGCTTGACCCATTTGTATTGAATCAATGTGTTTGACTGGGTGTCTGACTTCCCTTGTTGAATCCTGCGTTGTGATTGGCTGTGTGTCACTCCTCTCACTGCTGTTGAATCCTGTGTTGTGATTGGCTGTACGTGTGTCACTCCTTTTTGCTGCTGTTTGAGGGTGGGGGCAGCCTAGTGGTTGAAGTGTTTCGCTTGCCATGCCAAAGACATGGGTTTGATTCCCAACATCGGTACAATGTGTGAAGCCCATTCCTTGTGTCCACGGCCTTGATATTGCTGGAATATTGCTGGAATATTGCTTAAAGCGATGTAAAACCATACTCACTCACTCACTCACTTCACTGTTGTTGAATTAGGCACTATGATTGGCTGTGTGTCATTCCTCACTGCTGTTGAATCCTCCATTGTGATTGGCTGTGTGTCACACCTGGTAGCTGTTGAATCCTACGTTGTTATTGGCTGTGCGTGACTGCTCTTGTTTCTGACGAGTCCTATGCTGTGATTGGCTGTATTACCCGTCTTGTCTCTGTTGAATCCTGTGCTGTGATTGGCTGTCACACCAATCCCGTCTCTGCTGAGCCCTATGCTGCTGGATGTGTATCCCTCTTTGCTATGAATTCTGCAAATAATATTTTGGTACCTTAATTGTCATAATAAAGGTCCCCCTGTAGACTCTATCTGTCCATGTTCAATGACTGGTCTGTTAAAAATGTTTATACATTGTGATGCAGCAGAATTGCTATGCAAAGCTGAACATCCTGAAAGCGACCGTAAACTGTTAGAAGTATTTTTCTCAGTGTAAGTATTGTGTGATGATCTCTATTCAACACTTAACACTACTCAAGTAACTTGAAACTTTTATGTTATCATGGTAGGTCTCCATGAAAGTTTTCTGCTTTTGGAATGTTTATGATGACATTACAGTTTAAGTACAGACTTTTGAAACAATTGTATGTTTTCAGATCAATAATGTGTTGCTTTTAAAAAGGGATTTGTATGTGTTAGAAAATAACTCACTGCAGTTTGGTCGGTTGGGCAAGTGGGTAGGTGAGTGAGTGAACCTGTAACCATGGTAACAGGTGACACCAACCCAAAACAGATAAGATTTAGGCAACATATGATAAATAGACACTTCTGTATGTCTCTGATTTAAAACATTTGAACCAATTAACCTGAACTTTTCTGTGATCAATTTGCTTCGGTGTTGTCATTAGCTTTAATAGAAAAAGTGTAATTGAACTTATGTTTCTGAGTTTTGGTCAGACTTATATATAGTTTCACCGTGCCAGCATGATGGAAACTAGAGTATCATCATGATCACATTACACCAACCTCATTATCAATAGACCTGTGAAGATCCAGGTTAGAATAAATCTTCAGCAACCCATGCTTGCCGTAAAATGCAATTATGCTTGTCTTAAGAGGCGACTAATGGGATCGGGTGGCCAGGCTAGCTGACTTGGTTGATGCATGTCATTGTATCCCAATTGCGTGGACTGATGCTGATGATATCAATCACTGGATTGTCTGGTCCAGACTGGATTATATACAGACTGCTGTCATATAGCTGGAATATTGCTGAGTGCAGTGTGAAACAACAAACAAACAAACAAACAAACATCAATATTTGAGTCAGCATATAATACTTAAGATTATTTAATTTTTTTCTGAAATAGGTATTTCTCAAAAAATTAATATATAACCTTACTGCCCAAATGAAAACAGAAAGGGTTGTGTGATGTGATTGAGCGAGGCAGACTACCACAGTTTTTACACATTGTACTGTACAGACATTTGAGGAAATTTTTCACCATGTTCAGTTTCACATTTAAGTATTATCATGATAATTAATAGTTATCACTTTTTTATAATATTTCAACCACAGGGAAAAACACATTGAAGAAATCACATAAATACTGATATATTGGTGTTTGATATTTCGAAAATCAATAAAAACATGCACATTTACAAATCAACCTCAATGTATTGTTTGGAATTCAAAGTCAAGGGGTAGATAAATCATGTATACATACATCATAGCAAAATGTGTGTGGTGTGTTGTGACACCTTAATAGAACTGTGCCAAAAGTACATTGTTTTAGATGCCTCAAGGATTCAGAATTGACACTCCAAAATGAATAGATATCTCTGTGTTTCAACTTGAAAGACAGTTTTGTCACTTACTAATTGTTTGAAACATGATAAACTTCAATATGTCATGATTTATGTTGACGTAAGAGCGCATGCCTTTAGCCATCGCCTCAACTACATTTCCAGTGTGACAGGGACGGTTCGGGAGAAATAGTAAGACTATTAACAGTTTATAAAGATTGTTAGTCCTGACAGATTTAACCTGTTTCAGCAAGCAGTGCGAGATGTCCCCGTCAGTTCAGCCGAACCGGTTACCTGATAATCAAACACTGAAGCTCGACTGCCATGTGTGCGTTGTAGCAAGCTGGTGATGTGGGGGTTGTAGCAAGCTGGTGATGTAGGGGTTGACACATATCGGGGAGGTTTCTCTGGGATTAGGAATTTAGAGGTTTTTCATTCTCCGAGCTGGTGAGCTTCGGATGTTGTTATAGTCGAAATGTTGGATTTAGCCGTGAAGGATGTCACTCACTGCCAGTTTCTTTTGTCACTGTTGAGGAGCCATGTTGCAGAAAATACTGCTGTTGTTTTTATCTGGTCTAACCTGCATGATAACATAAAGGTAGGATATTAAAGTTAATAATTGTTAGTGATCGATATTGGCTTCACTTTCATATGGCACTTTATTGCAATAATGATAAGTGCCACGATATATTTCAAGCTGCACTAGATTGCATTTTCAGTTGATGATGTTAGCGTATACATATGCGTCATTAAATTTGTTTTTTCTGCTGCGTATTTCACAAAAGAGTAACGGTGTTTGCACACTACAATGTTATCGTTGCTTTTTGGATCATGTTTTCTTCTCTTAAATCAAAAATAGACCCGTATATGAAGTTCATTGTGACAACTTCATAGTCTTCCGCCATTTTGTTGGATGTTGATCACAACACATGCGTAATAGACACATATGCAGGAAGCTGGTTGCGAATAGATAGCTTTTTTATCACAGGGATCAAGTCCTAATTTCTCAGTTTAATAACTTCTATTCAACTTGTCACTCATGTAACAGTGATAGAAACTAACAGTTTTAGTCCACTAGTCCTTATAGTGATACCATATAGCAAAACTCATCGAAATGGCAAATGTCTACTTGTCCATATGATACCTTAACTATTGGTAAGTTGGGCAAGGACTATAGGACTACTGCCAATTTCTATCACTGCTGTAAACTTGCCTAGCATTTATATTTTAGGTGCCTGACCTAAGTTTTTAGGAGCCAACAGGCATCTTAAACAGATATTGTCGCCAGTTCTGTTTACTTGAAGGTAGCCAAGTTACGAGCAGTAGATAAATTTATGTTGCCAATCATAGATTTACATCGCATTTGGCCACCAAAATGGTCGCTACTTACAAGGCTGATTATGATATGTGATCATTAGTATTTCAATCAGTGGTATACTGCTAATACCTCGCAGTCGCACCTCTAATAATTCACTCACTTGCAGCCTGGGCTTTTACATGGGATCCATCTTTCTTATGAGTGAAACTATGTTTTTGTTTTAGTGATGCAGATTGCCTGGGATGCAATGGACCCTTGTTTAAAACAAACGACTTGTCACTCTGGGCATGGTGGGTCGCCACTGTGTTTTCAATACCTGGGCCACAATGTGATATTAGAGCAATGACAGTATTTCAAGCAATAGATCAGCTATATCAGTGTTGCAGACTTATAATATATTTCCCCCAGACCACAGGACTAGATACTTGAAAATCTTACCAGTCCTTGTCCAAAGTTGCCAGTCCCAATTTTATGCATATCATTTTCTGTTGTCTATTACTTCGAACTTGAATTAGGGTTGTTTAGTTTTTGTACACAATGGATATCATTGAGATATGTATTACTATTTGACAATAAAAATATGACCGTCCACAGGACAGGTGGACTTTATTTTACCTGTCCTTTGTGAAATTAACTTGTCACGGACGGTGGGATAGGCTATTATTTGCAACACTGACTGTATGATGGCGGCCTGTAAATAATCGAGTCAGGACCAGATAATCCGGTCACAATATTGTAAGCAACGATCCACGCGGTCGGGGTAAACATGGTAAGAGGACACGCTACTAACCAAGCAGGGTTAGAGTTGACACCATTGGTCATATCCAATGATTCCGCAGCATATTTTGGACTAGTGGCTATGTAAAACAACTAGAGTTTGTAACAAATGTTATATTTGGGATAACACTTTCTCAACCCCCCAAAAGTACGAGAATCTGTACTTTACTAAGAAAGTGTTATCCGAAATATAACATTTGTTACATTTGACCACTTTCTAAATGGCATTGTGTATTCATAGCTTCCGGCCATGGGAGCCGTGCCAATTTACACTTGTCAGAGGGGTACTCAAAGTACGTGTTCTAGACTACCAGTTGTCGGACTTTCATTTTGTGGAAGCCTCGGTGGCTGAGTGGGTTAGATTGCTGATTTGTGTGCTGGCGATTAGGTGCCTCCGGCATGTGTGGGTTTAAATCCCAGACGGGACTCAACCCCCAAAAAGTACAAGAATCTGTACTTTACTAAGAAAGTGTTATCCGAAATATAACATTTGTTACATTTGACCACTTTCTAAATGGCATGGTGTATTCATAACTAGAGTTTGGTTTTAAAACAACCAGTCCGTCTAGAATCTAGATTGTTACTCAAAGTTCCGGACTGATAGACAAGTGGCTATGTCTTATTGAATCCTTGCCAAGTCACAGACTCCGACCACCCAATCCATTTTCTCGCCTTCTTCAACCAGCACAGATTGCTGGGGACCTACAGGGTGGGTAATGGAGCAGTGATATTGCAGTTGCCAAAGTAACAAATGTCAGTTTAAATCACACTGACATAGTCGTGACTTCCTAATCAAAACCAGGTTGGAAGGAAAGTAAATACAGATAGTTTGAATGCATGTTTGCACACATGAATTGTGTGTCTTCTTTTCAACACAACGCCAACATGGTTCATTTTTTATTGACCAAGGTAAATACCGTTAAGAGTTATTGATAAGAGGATATTGGGGCGGGGTAGACAAACTGAAGCAGCTGAAGTTGAAATGTTTTACACAAGCTTATAATGGTTTACCTGAGCTCTAATCTGTGGAGACCTGTAAAGATTCCGGGGTAGAATAGGTCTTCAGCAACCCATGCTTGTCGTAAAAGACGACTAACGGGATCGGGTGGTCAGGCTCGCTGACTTGGTTGATGCATGTCATTGATCCCAATTGCACAGATCGATGCTCATGACATTAATCACTGGATTGTCTGGTCCAGACTTGATTATTTACAGACCGCCGTCATATAGCTGTAATATTGCTGAGTGCGGCGTTAAACAACAAACCAACCAACCAACCAATCTAATCTATGGAAACTTGTTTGTATGCAATAATAAAGTGTTGTTCAGCTGATAATGATTATCATGATTATACACTCAACCAAAGCTTGTTTAAGAAACTGTGTCACAAGATATGAAAGTTTTGTTGTCAGTATGAGGCAAGATTAAGGATAATGTTCTATTTGCCTTATTTCTTGATTTAGAGTACAAGGACGTATAAGGATATACGAAAAAGATTCCTGCGTTGGGTTGTATGCCAAGGTTATAAACATCGATCTGTCTCAGTAACAGGATATTATTACAGAGATTAAAAATTGCGGCAGTTGTGTGTCATACTGATTTTTCAAAATGAATATCAGTATTTGTATGTTTCTGCGGAAGCAAATTAGTAGAATATACTTAAAAATATAATAATCTCTTTATTATTCTACTCTGTACACCTCCCCTCTCATTTGAAACTTGCGCAGACACGCGCATGCAAACACATACACATGCAGACATGCACACGCATGCACACATGCAGACACACATACATGCACAGGCATTGAAGATTAAGTTCATAATGTGAATAAAGGATTTTAAAAATGCTTGAATCTCCGGCCAAAAGCATGAGAGTTTGCAGGTACGCACCTCACATAAATCATCATCACCATGACAAGGGAAGCAAAAGTCTGTCCAAATATATTATAGCATCATAATGAATATAAGGTAATAATAGTTAAGTATCCTAGCTTACCCTGGGGCATATAGCAGGTACTATTAAGCCCAACCCTAGGGGTCATTGTACTTCCTAATAGGACTCTCCCACTATGGCGATCAGACTGCAACAATCATGACAATAGCCAGTAGAAACATGGGGGAAGAGTTAAATTACCCTATCAGCTCACAGGATCTCCTCAGAGGCCTATATCAACTGATAAGATTAGTGAGGCGGAGGAGAGTGAGTGAGCCAGCAACAGGGATGTTTGTTTTTGTCATTACTGCAGTGATGGAGGAGTAGAAGGAGTACTGCCATGCCTTACACCACCATATGTTGTCTGCATCTTGAGGGGATCTGCCCTTCTCTGACTGAAGGAACACATGGGTTGTTAGGGAATCATTTGGAAGTGATGTGGGACGTATTGTCCAGGCAGGTAACAGTTCTGTAACAGTGGGGATGATTTGGAAGTAGGTGTCACGTTGTCTCAGCTTCATTTCAAGGATTGATACAGTAGGGGGATGAAGGATGGAGGATGGAGGATGGTTATTAAATGTAGCCAAATTCTTCAGGTTAATTGGTGGTAGGAAATAGTTAAGCTGAAGAAGATGGCTTTCAACATGTAAGATGAGGAAGGTGGAATTCAGAAAGAGTAGGAGGAATATTTATGAACGTAGCATTTACAAAAGTGCATCGTTCATAGAATATATTGTAGATTTGAGGTTGTGTAGACAAGGTTATGGCTTAGGTTACCAATGGCATCAGTGCTATCAACATCAACTTTGTCTCATCTTTTCTACATCTCTTGAATTATGGAATAAAAATGTCTAGTCAGTGCTCAAATTTGTGGATAACAATTTCTGGAATAAAAATGTCTGCTCAATATTTTGTATGAGATTTTGGCATGACTTATGAATACAAGTCAATGTTTGATCTTAAACTTCTGGGTGAAACTGAAAGTCATTAGGTCGTTGTTTAAGATAATAAATTTTGGGGTTTTAGATGATGTTATTGAGAACATCTCCAGGTTTTATACTGCAAGTTCTGTTCACATGAGCCATGTCTTCTACCACATGACTATCCATGCATAGTGTTACTGTATATATTTTGTATGATGATTTATTATCATTATTTGAAAGATTTATTTTTACAGATTGTTGTAATTATATGGGATAAGATAGCTACAAGTGTCAAACACTCTTATGGCAGACACATTGTCAAATGTCATGCTGTTTTGACCAACATTTGTTTTGTCTGACAATCTGAAGAATCGCTCAAATATGTGTTGTTCAATGCATTTGTATCCTGCATGTTACATGCAGCAGTGTTGAGGAATCTAATAATCATTGAGGACACTCAGGACAGATGATCTGTCGAATAGCCATTAAGTTCTTTTAGAACAAAGAGTGTTTCGAAAATGAATCTGAAAGTCAAAGGATTTTTATCATAACCATGCTAATTTTGTATTTAATTATTCAAGAGGTCCCTATATTATCAATTAGGAACAAGACAGCCCTGGAAGACACCACAATCCTCTTTACTTCTAACATTTGTTATCAGTAGTACCGTTAAGTTAACAGGTTTTGCAGGTTTTAAATAAATTCAGATTGAATAAGTAATATTAATTCTCAAATAATTGTTTTGTTTTGCATCAGTGAATTCATCTGCATATCAATCAACCATCTTGTTTCAGAAAGAACCAACATGGCTCCAGACAGACAAGTCCGGCACTGAATGGTGACAGCCAGACAGGGACCACCAGCAGGACTGTTGACACCTGCTAACCTTGTGCGACCTTGACCTAATTAAGTGACCTGTGAACTTTTTGCATGCCCAGGAGGTAATCACTCACAAATCAGTATGGGGTGTTTACAATCCACACCTAAAAAAGACTTTGACGACCCCTCCAGCATTGGAGATGGGAAAGGGATGGATAATCTCGACAAGCAGAACGACAAAGGGAAGAAGAAAGCCCGGAACAGCTATGATAAGGACCCCACCAGCCTGCGAGTAAACCCATCAGCATTCAGTAAGTACAACGCAATCAAAACTTCTTCGAATTCAATGTATTGGCCTTGACCTTCAATGACCTTTCTAATAAACTTGTATTCGTAAGACTCAATTTCAGTACTTTAAGGTCCACATTGTCCATATTGTGCCTTCAAATGCTGATAATGGTTAAAAAGACAAGTTACGATAAGTATGTCTTGTGCTAATCTCTGATCACACAACACCTGACTAGCCTACCTGTGCGCTGTGCTCTGCATGAAGATCAAATGGAAAGGTTTCCAGTAGATGCATACAGACACAGGCTGGAAAGTCTTCTGGCTCAAGTAGTGATATGACCAAGAGAAAAAGGGTTTGTTTGTTACTACCTTATCTAAGGTGGGGAAATATGTTTGTATCAACACGTTGATTTTTGAAAGCATAACAACCCCAAATCAGAAATCAGTTTTCAGCCCTGAATAATCCGTTTCTCAGCAGACACAGATTATGGGCAGTTATTACATACTTTGTATATTTTCATCATTTCTGATAATGACAGGGTAAGCTTAACAATATCACTAACCTGTAAGAATGGTACACGAGGTATGGCAATGCAGTTGCGGGGAATGCCGAATGTAATAACTTGGTCAGTTAATCCGAGTCATCGTCAGGATAGTGAAAAGTCCAAGCTCTGAGACAGAAAATAACAAACATGAAATGATAAAATGGCTGACATGCCCTGAGGATATTATGAGACAACAGATTTTCACATTTCTGCCACAAATCAGTGCCATTGGAAGTATAGTGAGAAGTACCCAAGCCCAGAGATCAAGAAAAGGGCAAACAAGAAAATCCTCCTTGGGATGGATGACATCACTTAATGATGTCAGAAGACAACAGGATTTTTATTTCTACCACAAATCTGGAAACTCACCATAGTTCCAAGGCAATTCTGTGATACCGACCCTGAAATAAAAATAATCCATCACAGCCCATGCAAGTCTATAACAGCTGGCAAGTCTAGATAATGCAGTTTCAAGAAAAGGAAGAGGTCTCTTGGCTCCTTTTTATTATGTTTTATTAAGATAATTTAACAAATTTTTTGTCTGTAAAATAGTTTAATTTCCGAGACTAAATGTTAATCTATTCCAAGTCCAACCCATATGTTTCAAACAGTTTACAGCAGATGGTATGGTTATAGATCCCATAGGGAATTCAGTGTTTAGCCATTTGACATCAACTGGAACACCTTGTTAGACGAGGGCTGGGTCGTCTCCGCTTCCACCTTTCTGTGGTCCCTGCACTTAGGGAACATGGCGTTCCACATCTGGTCCCTTGACAAACACTCCACCAGGCCAAGTGAAGCTGTTCTTCATATGGGTTGTAGTGGAAGTTTGTCATCCATGGCATAGGCGATGGAATGGATATAGCATTAGGTGGATGGGAATCGGTTTCAGATGTTGATTACCTAATTTCTAATAGAAGGATTGCCAGTGGAGCTGCTGTGTAAGTGGTCCAGTGATGACTGATGTAGCAAGAGAGGACATACCACGTGCAGAGCAATGTGATGCAATTTCATTGTGCTTATATCTCCTGGGAGTGGAAGAAGCAGTAAACTACAGTTGTGATGAACTCAAAGGGACCACGAAATTTAGTTTGCTATGACTGTAGTTTGTTATAAACATATACACAGTAAACTACGGTTAAAATGAACTCAGACGTTGATTTTAATTTGTTTGAAATGTAGTTCATTATGAGCATATATACAGCATATATACAGCATATATACAGCGTATATACAGCATATATACAAGCAAATGGGAGGGGTTCAAAAACAGTTCGTTATATCTGTCAGTTCGTTATTAGCAAATGGCTGGGACCAAGAACAGTTTTTTTACATCCATCAGTTCATAATATGTGTGTTTGTAAGATAGTTTATTGTATCTGGCTTGAGCTGACCCATGATTATATATTTTGAGTGAGACAGACAGACAGACAGACAGACAGATTTCTCTATTTCCTGAGAAAATGAAATATTAGCTAACAAGATTGCAATGTATTCTGATTGTACCCCCTCTCCACATGGGTACTATGTGTGAAGCCTGTTTCTGGTGTCCCCCACTGTGATATTGCTGGAATATTGCTAAAAGCAGCATATAACCATATTCACCCGCTCTAATACTATTTGCCCATGTATGTTGAATTCAAAGGTTTCAAAATATCAAATAAGCCAAGTTTGTTTTGTGTTCCCCCCCGCATCAAGTGATGGCGACACTGGCTTACTGAATACACAGTCACGTGGCTACCTTCCCAAATCCAGTTGAGACTACAAGATGATTGCTCGGTTGTTCATAGAGTAGGTGATTGATCCAGGTAGGAGTGACCATGGGGACTGGCACTGTCATTGATAGGAACTTAGTAAGTTAACGAGATTATCCCTCTTTGTAGTGTGAAAGTCATTGATTTGTTGTGAGGCAACCGCAGGCGAATCAACTTGTTGGCTAGATACAGTCAGGGGAATACAAGTACTTAAATGGTTTGTTATGTGTTACAGTCACAATGAGATTAGGGAACGACCATTTGATGATATTTTCAGGGAGGGAGGCTGAGATTTTGTATGGAGACTAAATATTTTTGCGCTACATTTGCTGAACCAAATATTTTATTCATTTTATGTTTATTTAAAACTATGAGCCTAAATATAAAATAAAAACAGCTTTAAGACAATTTCTTCTTTTTTCAAGTCTGAAGCATAACTATTATTTTTCTGGGACAATTTTTGTTGTTGTTGACTAATCAAATTGATTGGTCCTTTTGTGTTGTTTGATGCAAAACTTGAGTGTCTGACATCATGTTGCCATGGTTTCTAGATAGTTACTGGAAACAAGAAGCAAAGATAGATCACATAGTATGTATTCTATGGTTCCAAAGACATATTTTTGAATTATTAATCAGGTATGACTATTTTAGTTAGTCTTTCAGAGTTTTCAGATATCTGATTTATTTCAAACAAAACAACTATGCCATAGAAGAACAAATTCTCAGCTTGTTCCAGAGTAGGGGCAGGTGGTTAAAGTGTTCAATTTCCAACATGGATAGTACCGGTACGTGTTTCACTTTCCTGTCAATATCTGGGTTAGAATTGGTCCTCAGCAACCCATGCTTTTTGCCAAAGGAGACAACAGCATCGTGTGGTAAGCCTCACTGACTTGGTTGATGCATGTCATCGTATCCCAATTGGTAGATCAAGCTCATGATGTCAGTCACTGGATTGTCTGATCCAGAGTCAAATATTTACAGAAAGACATCATATAGCTGGAATATTGCCGAGTGTGGCATTACACAACAAACAAAACAAAACAAACACTTAAAGCTTCCTATTGCACTTTCATGTTCTGATAGTCTCTATCCTTGAAGGTTGAACAAAACAAGGAGACTGCAAAACTTTAAAATCACTGGTTGTGATTAATGTTTACTAGCATTTGTGTAGTGTGTGTTGATGTTTGTCCATCCGTGCTACATGAGCTTACACTGATAGTCTGTATCATCTGTCACTGAATGAAAGTACTTTCCAGCCATGTCCTAACAGTTGTTTGTGTCATGATGACACAGTGATATGTCATACCAAGGTGTGATGTCAGTTTTAACATTCTGGCTTGTAGGGGGCAACGTTCAAGGCCGATCACAGTTGGAAACTTCGATCTTGTTGACATTGGATAAACATTTTTCCTTTAGAAATTTTCATTTTCATTAAAGTCATATCTTGTAACTTCCTTATATTGTCAGTTATTGATTGTAGTCCTCCTGTCATGCCTATTTAAAACAACACGATTGAAATAGAAACTACGTGTGCATGGTACTTGTCATTCAGAAATCTAAGAATCAACATCGCGAATGTTTGTTTACGAAAGTTAAGACACCTTTGATCCTATTTTCGGAAAAAAGGGGATTAATAGATACATGTTTAATCCTTGAGAATGTGGCTTGGGGTTAAGTTAGGAGAATGAAAAAAATAATCAAAGTTTGGAAACAGTCACCACGGTCGGATGACAGTCAGCTACGTGCTACACCCCAGTCACTTCAAATTAGTTGAATCAACTAGTCACAATATCTTTGGTGGCTAAACTAAACCTGCTGTTTGTTCCACTCTTGCTTGAACATGGCCGCCTGTTGGGGGCGTGTCTGTGTTTGTTTGTTTGTTTGTCCAGCTGATGACCACTAGTAGACTGGTCAACACAGCCAAGTTAGGACAGGCTTGTCTGTCAAAATCAGTTGGATGAGCCGAATATCTCCTGAAGATTTTGAGGACCTTTTCTGTGTACATTGACTATGAGCCAATCAGTTTTGGAAAGCTGTAGAAAGGTCATGCTGTCACTATGAGCACCGACTGGAGCATGGATTGCTGGTTGGAATAGGTCCCTTCAAACTATGCTTGTGTGACTTTGTTGACTGCATGTCATAGTACATCATGGACCGTTGCTCATAATATCGATCACTGGTTTGTCTGCTCCAGTCCGTTGTCATATTGCTGGAAAAACTGCTGTTTGCTTGAATATCCAACAAACAAAACATATACAAAAGATTTTTGATTTTAGAATAGCACTTGATCATTATGGTGAATAATGCTTTTACTGAACAGTGTCAGATAGTGAGGTTCTCTTTGAGTATGTTGGAGTTTTTGCTGTAGTGGCAGTTATGCAGGTAATTAGTATTGCAACATTGAGAGCACTTAAATCTGTTTGATAGGTCTTCAGCATCCCATGCTTGTCGTAAGAGGAGACCAATGGGATCGGGTAGTCAGGCTCACTAATTTGGTTGATGCATGTCAACGTATCCCAGTTACGTAGATCGATGCGTATGATGTCATTCACTGGATTGTCTTGTCCAGACTATATTATGTACAGACTGACATCATATAGATAGCTGGAATATTGCTGAGTGCAGCGTTAAATAAACAAATAAACAAATCTTTTAGACTGTCATTCACATATTGTATACTGGGATGGTCATGCTAATCTGTTACCCTTTAGACGACATATGATA